GGAAAGTCCTAAGCTTAAAGGTACAGCTACCTATGTTAGGTTTATTTCATTGTTCACATAGTTCCTGTAAATAGAAAAAAGGAGTAAATAAAAGGTGGAAAATATAAATTCATTAAAAAAAGTGTGTCACTATCGTTGGAGTATGAACCCAAAAGCTTAAATTTAGCTTATCTTTTCTAATAAAGTTGAGGTTTTCTTACATGATTTACTCAATCAAAGTAAACTAGAGAGAAAGGTCATCAATCAGCAACTTGATTATTATGTTTCTGGAGCCAGCGCTAGCAACTAATTAAGAGTTCGACACGCGATGAGACTAGATCCCCAATTTCTAGCGGGCCAGGTCGTCACAAGAACCAGGGCTTATTCTCTGAAAGTTGCTGCTTATGTTTTCGAAATCCGTTCCCCAAAATACACTTTCCATTTCTGGAAAAGAATAAATATGTGTAGTTTTTTTTCAATTCTATTTACATATCCACACTGGGGGGTTACTGGGGTCCCTGATGCCCTGCTGAGCAGACATCCAGGGATTGTTGCGGATGACATCAAGGGCCCACCGCCTCTTGCTCAAAGGTTTACGCTCTGTTCGCCAGTGGTCAGTGCTGATTGGAACCGATATTCTAGTTAGCTATGGTAATCCAATTATTTTCCCGATATTTGCAAATTACAGCCAGGCCTCGATGGAATGAAAACGTATGATGCAGCTAATACTAATAATGGAGTTAACAGTTCGAAAGTTGAAAGTCTGAGGAAGGCTGACCAACTTCGCAATTTTTCCTGTCGGCGACGAACGTCCTCTTCGCACCGCACCGCTCCATGCTTCCAGACCTGGAAGGTAGTCTGTGCCGCACAGCGCTCCTGCGCCGCGGCACAGCCTACCTGCCAGTCGCTATTGCGTTCAGCAGGCGTGGGAGCGGTGTATTGGTGCCAATCAGAACTTGGAACTTCGAAATTTCGATTCTGTACAATGTTCAAATCGATATTTGGTTGGACAAAGGCAGCAGGTCATGGACAACATTGGGAAATCACTTGCTACACCTCAGCATTTTTATGAGGTAATCGCATATATGTACTAACATTGATTGGCAAATAGGAAGCTCAGCTCTCGATATGTGAAACACTTTGGGCTGGTAAAAGTACATTAAAAGCAAATTAAAAACCAGTGTTGAGTGTCAATACATTCATAATTTTCGGATATCTTTGGAGGATATCTGGCCGTTTTATTGAAAACTAAGTATGCGGACTCAACACATTTATGCCTTAGTAACCACGTCTATACAGGCAAACCATTCTCCTTCGCGGCACTTTACATCCCAACCTAAGAAGCCAGATTTGGCAATCCAAAATGGTTCACGAGGGACAATGTGGCAAAGGAAGTGGGTCCGGATGCTGGCTCTCTGCCTCTCCTTTCGCGAGGCAGCCGCGGACGGCAGACAAAAGAGTCACTTGGCAGCGGGCGGGAGCGGGCGCCGCGGCGCGGCCAGAGCGGCAGGGCGATCGGCGCGGGGGACGGGCGCAGCGTGACGTATGACAGGATATACTGGCAAGGCCATAGATTGCGATAGGGACGGAGTTGGCGGAGACATTGAAGAATGTTGCCTGTTCAGTGGTCTGCCAGGCGGCGATTCTGTTGGTTCTGGAATATCAGCAAATTTATGTATTTGTTCGATCAGCTATGCAATCTGAATGTCTTGAGCTTGATTTGTTTTATGATCTATGCATAGATGACGGCATCGCTGAAGATTTACGTATGGCTGAAATATTTAATTTTTTGAAAATCTTTGTGGCGAATCTCATTCATATCAACACAAGTACTATAGGTACATTTAGATGACGTTTTTTGGTTTGTAACTCTTGTGTATATTTGTATATATTGTTATTCGTAACTCTGAAAAAATGTATCACTGAAGGCATATTTATTTACAATAGTAGAAATGTTATTATATGGTAGTAGAAAAAGGACAAAAGACACCAGTGCCAGTGCTTCACCATCTCAAATGCCGACGAAGCTATCCATAGACCACAACATATGTGTGGCAGGTAGTGGTCTATGCTCTAGCCATCTATCCCTCTGGCCATTAAACGCCAATTGCTTCGGGCGCATTCAAGTCCATCGTATCTCGACCTTCTCCAATAATTTCTGAAAGAATGTGAAACATTCCTACAACAAGAATCGTTAGCTTGTTTCTCTGCCTCTCCAATCAGACAGAGTGCTTTGTTTCCTGGCCTGTACTTGATAACCATCTGGCCAGAGAACACTGGTAACATGGCTGACTGGACGCCGGCCATGGGCCGCATCTCACAAAGCGAGGCCATTCGCCGCGACTTTGACACATAGTTCTGGGGCTGAATATACACAGATCAGGGTCTCATCCAGACCGATTGGGAGCCGAAAATAGCGCGACACGTCAGCAGCTGGCTGGTTTCAAAATGACGGAACACTTGCCAGTCGAAAAGACAGTGGATAGCCTTCTGCTTTACATAGCACTTAAGCCATGGTTGGAGATACTGGAAACAAACCAACAACGAAGATTGGAAAAAACTAGATTCGCTATCATACGGAACAGCGAATGTTTCCTTAACTCTATTATGACCAGTTAAAAATTGGTGAATTTTGTATTGTCTCGCATACGCAATATTGCCGGCCAGGGCACTTCGACATGAATCTGAGAATGGTCATTTCACGATGGAACCGTGCAAATTATATTGGCGGGAAGTTGCGCCATCCCTAGTTACCTCCTACCTCCGCCAGCGCCAGGTCGTGCCTCATCACGGGCAGGCAGTGCCACCTTGGTGCGCCGGGGAGAACTACAGGTCGCATAGTGCCACCAGATGTCGCGCACACACGACAGGCGCAGATATATGGATTTAAAACGTGGGTGATATATTGTAACAGCGTTGATTTCTACCATGAATGTATTTTAGCAACTCACAGCGTGGGCGCAGGCACTGGAACCACAACGGCTACCACAACTGCATGTAAGTGGGTAAGTCCGACATACGACTTATGTTGGACTCGAGGCAACGCTGCCCAAGCGACCTTTTCCGTTAGGACGCCGAGCGACGGAGTGCGCGCAGCGATTTTTTTTTGTCTCCCCCTGTTCTTTCTAGGGCGTCTTTCAGAAGAGCCCAGGAAGGGGTCAGGGGTCGAGGCCAGCCAATGCCAAAACACCGAACGGCGTGGCTAGCTTAGCCCGGACTCACTTAGCAACCTTAACGCTAATGTTTCCGTTGCGGCAGGCAACATCTCCAGGACCACCGTCGACAGCACGACTTTTTTAACGCTATCCTTTAAGCTGCACATTGAGCCGGAGCTGGGCTGAATTAATTCAACATTTTCCACGGAAATGCATGCCTGAGCAGATTTTGGGGAGTTTGTTCGTTTTCACCAGTTTTTAAAGCACCTCTGATCTAGTAAAAACATCGCGCGCCAATTCAATCTTCCGGCGCCCTTCGCAGAAGGAATGGACGGTCATTTTTCTGGGCTTTGTCTATGTTTTGCAGCGGCGTCAGTTGAGACAAACGATGCTGGCGAACTGCACATTCTGCAGAACTGCCGCCGCTCGGTGTGTGCGTGCGGATGGATTGGGCACAGAATCTCGCCATCTCCTCAGCTATGATGGCTTATGCAGGCGAATAAAAGACGAGAACATTGAAAGCGGTTTATGTGATATATGTGTGGCATTCTGCAGTGGCTGGGTCGGCGCCAGCAGCTCCCGGCGCCTCCCGACCCGCCCTGTTTTCTCCCGGTCAGCCGCCGCGCTCTGCTCCCTCCGCTCTGGTCGGCCCGAGACGCCGCCCGGCGGCTGTTTTCGGGTTTCTAGGCCAGCGCCATTCGGGGCGACTGCAGTGCACAATGACGAGCCGTCTCGGCCGGCTGGAGATTTACGGCCGCCGACCGCAGATAACACTGGGATCACGGCCGCCCCATCCAGGCCGGCACGCCAGCAAATTTCCGTCAACAATCACGGCTATCTATCGTGGCAGGAGCACTTTTGCGGGCTAGCACAGGCCACCAGAGGTGAGCGATGGTTCCAGTTAGCCGCCATCTCGAGTCTCAAAGCCGACTTCTATCTGCTGACTCTGCCCTCTATTAGGGCCATCCAGAGATGAGGAATATCCTATTCCAGGGATGATCACAAGCTGATCAAAAGCGAAAGTCACTTACATTTGTTAATTATGCTGATATAATCTATGCTATTTTATTGAAAGTAATAAAAAGAATGTAAAATCGTGATATCGCTTTTTTTCTTAGTGCTATAAATCGACAGTACCTACCATGAACTGACTTATGTGCTCCTCATGAGCTGCTTTTAGTTCCCATGCTTACTGTAAGGACGAATATCACTTGAGCGATTCTGCAACGTATGAGGAACATTCTTTTTGTTTGGACATTAGTGTGCCACAAGGAAAAGCGATCAATGGCCGTGTCCGTGGCCCCATTCGGTGATTCATTGAGAGGAGAGCTATCGGAACGGGACAGTGGGCCACGTCTGAGACATCCAATCCACGCAAACTAGGTCACACCAGATGGATGGTCACCACTGCAGCGTATTCCACCGGCGGCGGGTCCCAAGAACATCGTTATGCCGGGCCTCCCATTGCATTTGAGCGCCACGGACCATTCACAAATCACACTCTTCACCTTCCCATGCCAAACTATTTTTATATTTATTTCATTTTATCATTCGACAACAGATGCTGCTGGAATTGATGGCTTTCATTCGATAGAAAAATGTTTTTTTTTTTCGGCAGATATATCCCATTCATACCAATGCACCGGATACAAGCGCCGAGCATGAGTGATTGATTGTCAAATTTGCATTGTTTTTCCTGGAAATTGTATTGCATTCTACGAATAAAATTCATTCTTTGGAAAGCTACCTACAGTTAACAATGCCTAGTGTCTGATAACCGACAAACCCCGTTAACGGGAAAATATTCTGCAGCTGTATGCTTCTGAATATGTTGACACGGTTCTTTACCAGTTAATTCTCTTTCAGGCCTCATTTTGCTCCATGGCAATCAAGACGCTGATTTCAGTGTCGACGTTCGTGGTGCTGGGGCTCATCTGCGCCTACCACGCTCTGGAGGTGCAGGTAGGTGCTGGTGTTGGGGCTGCTTTGGTGCTGGTGTTGGTGGTGCTGGTGTTGGTGGTGCTGGGTTAGTGCTGGGGCTCATCTGCGCCTACCACGCTCTGGAGGTGCAGGTAGGTGGCACTGGGGCTGTGTGGTGCTGCTGCTGGTGCTGGGGCTGCGTGGTGGTGCTGGGGCTGCGTGGTGGTGCTGGGGCTGCGTGGTGATGCTGGGCCGTGTGGTGGTGGTGCTGGTCGTGCTAGGCTAGTGCCGGGGCTCTCTGCGCGTACCACGCTCTGGAGGTCCAGGTAGGTGCTAGTGGTGCGGGCGCTGGGAATTGGTGCTGGCGCTGGTTTCGTGGTGCCTGAGCTGTGCAATCGTGACAGAAGGTGATGGTATTAGTGCTTGGACCGAAAACGTGTCTATTGTTTGAGCGCAAGGCCGGCTCCCATAGTCTTCTCAGCTCGTCTTGTATGTATGTATAAGTAAATTGTTCGTGCATTTCTTGCTCACCACTCCAGACTCAACGCATCGAGACTGCTCGCTTACCACAACCAGATCACCATATATTTCAGCCGTACACTTATAGAACAAGCTTTGTACGTTCTAATTCAATGTATCCACCTTCGAAGTTTCCGCGCATCGTTCATTCCAGCATCTCAGGTTTTGATTTTTAATTGTTTTAGGCATTTATTGTGTGTGTGTCTCATGCACCAAATGTTTTCATAACCCTTTAATTCATTGTCGTACGTTTCGCGTTTTCACAGTCACTTATTCCATGTATCGTAAATACGCTCCCTTTGTCGTACGACCGTGCATTGTGCATTACGTGCATCGCACGGTCGTGTATTGTACATTACGTGCATCGCACGGTCGTGTATTGTACATTACGTGTATGGCCCGGCCGTATATCCAGCGTGAGAGCGGGTTGGCCGCCGGCCGCCGGCCGTGAGCTACCTGTGAGCTCATTGGAGGCCGATCAATACGAGGCAGCGGGCTGACACAGCGGCGGCGCTCCCGGCGGACGGGCAGCGCGGCCCACCTGCTGCACGGCACAGCACAGCACAACGGCCCAACAGCACAGTACAGCACAGCACAGCATAGCACAGCACAGCACAGCGCAACACAGCACGGCACAACATAGCACAGCACAGTATATACAGCACAGCACAGCTCAGCAAAGCGGTCGACGCTCCCGGCGGACGGGCAGGGCGGCACACCTGCCGCACAGCACAGCACAGCACAGCACAGCACAGTACAATAGAGCACAACACAACACAGCGGCCTATACACAGCAGCGCAGTACAGCAAAACACAGCACAACACAGCACAACACAGCACACCACACCACAGCATAGCACAGCACAACACAGCCCGCGACGGCAAATGCTCTATTCCAAGTCAGGGTGTTACCTCTCAAGCAACAACGATGCGGACGACAATGGGTAAATAATTGATTGACAATCAGCAAAGTCAAGAATCTTAGCGAAATGAATATATTCACAATAACTAGACGCAATGACTGGATATTGGATAAGAGCGGCCTGTGTAAGACGGGTTTTGATGCGAGGCAATTAACTGTAAAACTACACAGTGCCATGGTCCAGCCGACTATGTGGCGTGGGCAGATGACACAGTGCTGATGCCAATGAGCATCTGTGATGAGTAGCTAGTCTACATTGGCTGCAAGCAGCATTTAACCAGTAAATCGCTCAAACCAGTTCAAATTCCACCTGTCCGGCAGTTAAATGTGATTTGTTGGAAGGGAGAGCAGAATGGGCAGTTCAACTGGTCGGATTGAGCTATTCAGCGAACAGGTTGCCCAGTGGATGGATCCGGTCCTGCCCATACTCCCATCGATTGGACTGCCAGGAGCGGCCATTTCGTGCGCTAGTTTCAACTGCCGTCACTGACTTTCTGCGCACGCCATCTTGACAGCCGCCCACACCCGCACACAGCTGCTGACTCCATCTTTTCGTCCATCCATATGGGTGTCTCGGCGGCTGTCCCAGCACAGCGCCGCGGCCGGCCGTTTACATGGCTCCCGCGGCTCGGCCCGGTGACATTTCTACATCGATTTCTGGGCCCTGACACGGGCCGGGCAGCTCAAACATCCTTCAATGAGTCCCGAGAACGGCGCTGGTGCGCGTCATAATCGCTCCGACACGACCTCATAGCACGTGGCTCGGGATCACCGGCGACCATCGCAGCCAAATATTGGTCGGCGCGGTGGGCGCGCGGCGGCTGAATCGACCCCGGGCGACAGGCGCCGGACGACCTCCGTGACCTCGGCGGCGGGCCGGCCGGACCGGGCGCGCCGCGCTGAATATGCAGCCGCCAGAGCACCGGATGGCCTCTGTTGTCATGTGCGAGATTAGAGCGCCCGAAAGAAAGGGAGTTGTCCCCGGGGGCCGCCGGCCGTGCCCGGGAACAGGACCAGCGGCCGTGGCGTCACCGGCCGCGGCTGACGTCACGGCGCTGAGCGGTGGCCGATTCCCGGTCAGTGCTGGACTCCCAAGAGCGGCGAGTTGGAGCCACTGAACGGGCGGCGGGGTGGACCACCGGCCACCATCCGTGCTAATGTTTTGGGCGAGGCGAACCTGGATGATACGCTCCCGGGCCTGGGAATCGGAGCGTGTTTTGTGACACTGTGCGTCGGTGAAATGTCCTGGTGACACGCTTGTGAGTCGTTCCGTTGGCGTGTCCCGTTGACACGTATCGGTGGTGAATCACCTAAAGTGTCACGCGATTGGTCAATCTATCGGTCATTCTCGTCATTAATTAGCTTATCCATCGTCGGTCGTTTTTGCCATTCGGTTGTCAGTGGGCGATGACGTATGCTGGACGCAGATGCTAGAATAACAGCGCATATCCATTGCGCAATGTTGTTATGGGATGAACGCCGCCTCTGGGCAGCAGCTTATCGCTCCGATAAGGACTCCCCCAGGTCACTATCAACGCATTACGCGTGCGTGAGTAGGCCGCAGGCCCGGTTAGCGCCGTTCCTGTATTCATTGTTTTGTGCAGCTGTCGCGCACAGCCTGGTTCGGCGCCACTCGGCCCAACAATAATACTGCGTACGTGTGCGCGCACGTTGATGAGGTGGATGGCGAGGCCGACCGACGGGCCGACGGTGTGTGTATGTGTGTGCGCTCGTTTATAATCGGTGGGCGGTGTGTCGCCAGTGACGCCGTTTGCCCTGGGTACGACTGTTCAATACGAGCGGCAGACAGTCGGCGCCGCGGTGCCGCCGACGGCGTATGGACGGCCCGCAGTCATTTCCCAGCGCTATCGGCTTCTCACGGCAATGGATGTGATCAGAACCACATCGGGTACGGGTCACCGGGTCACCAGGTCACCGGGTCGCCTGGGTCAGATGGGACGGCGGGGTCGGCTCAGAGTCGACCCTTCGACCCAGGGTCGAGAACGGAGCGAGCCGGGAGGGTGGAGGGACGCGGCAGTCTGCCTGTCTGCTGCGGCCGGGATACATCAGCCTGCCTGTCTGCCAAGGCTGCGCAGTCGGAGTTGGAGTCGGAGTCGGAGCCGGAGTTGGTCGGAGTCGACAGTTCTGCCCAGAGTCGGAGTCGAAGTCGGAGTTGGTTTTTTGAAGTCGGATTCGGAGTCGGAGTCGGAGTCGAAGTCGCAGAAAATCCATCGACTCGGCAACCCTGCTGTGTGCTATAACTAGGACACGGCAGTCTGGCTGTCGGCTGAGGCCGGGACACGCAACCTGTCTGCAGCGGGAGTCTGCGGTGGGAGCCGGGTGCGCCAGCCTGGCTGTCTGCAGCAGGAGCCGGGTACGCCAGCCTGCCCGTCTGTGGCGGGAGCACGGCAGCCTGGCTGTCTGCGGCGGGAGCCGGGTGCGCCAGCCTGGCTGTCTGTCTGTGGCAGGAGCCAGGTGCGCCAGCCCGCCTGTCTGCGGCGGGAGCCTGTCTGCGGCGGGAGCCGGGTGCGCCAGCCTGTCTGTCTGCCGCGGGAGCCAGGTGCGCCAGCCTGTCTGTCTGCAGTAGGAGCCGGGTGCGCCAGCCTGTCTGTCTGCAGTAGGAGCCGGGTGCGCCAGCCTGCCTGTCTGTGGCGGGAGCACGGCAGCCTGGCTGTCTGCGGCGGGAGCCGGGTGCGCCAGCCCGCCTGTCTGCGGCAGGATCGGAACGCCAGCCTGCCTGTCTGCGGCAGGAGCCGGGTGCGCCAGCCTGTCTCTGTCTGCGGCGGGACCGGGTGCGCCAGCCCGTCTGTCTGTGGCGGGAGCCCGCCTGTCTGCGGCGGGAGCCGGGTGCGCCAGCCTGTCTCTGTCTGCGGCGGGAGCCGGGTGCGCCAGCCCGTCTGTCTGCGGCGGGAGCCTGCCTGTCTGTGGCGGGAGCCGGGTACGCCAGCCTGCCCGTCTGTGGCGGGAGCCGGGTGCGCCAGCCCGCCTGTCTGCGGCGATAGCCTGGCTGTCTGCGGCGGGAGCCGGGTGCGCCAGCCTGCCTGTCTGCGGCGGGAGCACGGCAGCCTGGCTGTCTGCGGCGGGAGCCCGCCTGTCTGCGGAGGTAGCCCGCCTGTCTGCGGCGGGAGCCGGGCCGGCCACCATCGACCTGCGCCGATCTCGGTTGTTTATGTGACTTTCAGTCGATCAATCCAAGTGAACCGGTGCGCTGCATTATTGAAGCGCGCCGCTCGGGCCGAACCTTGGAAGAATGGTGGAGCGTGGCCGTCAAGGTCGGCCCGCCTACTCTACCCACGCAGCCCAGAGGCGAACGGACCACTTCTGAATCCACAGCACGGGACTCAGGAGGAAACAAAATGTTATTTAGTCACCAATTCCTTTCCAATCTGGAAACGTCTTTTGTTGGCAACGGAAGGCTCACGAAAAATTGTTTTGCTATGTTGTCATGTGTTCGCAAATGCTGTCATTCTTTGTCACGACTTATGCCCCGTTGAGCTCCGATTTATCTTCCATGGACTCCGTTCTGTATACAGGTCTGTCGGGGTGCCTTTTTGTGCCGTCTACGGTCTAATGTGACGGAAGCCACTCGCTCTTTTCTCTCGGCCTAATGTGACGGAAGTGTCGGTTTCTCTCTCGCTGGACGGCTCCCTTACCCGTCAGCGTCACCATTGACCACTGCCTCGCTCTGTGGCTGGACCGGATGTACTCTTCCTCTATATGTCTCTCTAGTCTCTCTCCCTCTCTCCATCTCTCTCTCTCACTCACTCTCTCTCTCTCTCTCTCTCTCTCTCTCTCTCTCTCTCTCTCTCTCTCTCTCTCTCTCTCTCTCTCTCTCTCTCCCTATATCTCTCATTCTCTTTTTTCTATCTCTGGCTCTCCTTCTCTTTCTTTCTTATCTACCAATACATGTATGTCTCTCTTTCCGTCTCTCTCCTCCGTCCATTTCTCATTCTGGCCCCTTCCCCGTGCGCAGCTGTGCAAAAACGACTCCGACTGGGCCGTTGTCTGTGGCGATTCCTACCGGTGATCGTCGACACAAACAACTCGGAGAGCCTTTCTCCTCAGCGGACCGGCGTGGCGCGGTCTGACGTTTCTCTCCCTCCCTCCCTCTCTCTCTCTCTCTCTCTCTCTCTCTCTCTCTCTTTCTCTCTCTATCTCTCTCCTCTCTCTCTCTCTCTCTCTCTCTCTCTCTCTCTCTCTCTCTCTCTCCCTCTCTCTTTCCCTGCTCCGAGTGCACCTCCCGTGATCCGGTGACGCTGTCACCGCCACCATCCCTCTCCCCTCTCCCTTCCTCCCCTCCCAGCCTCCCATCCTCCCCTCCCAGCCTTCCATCCTTCCTCTCTCTCTCTCTCTCTCCCAGCCCTTCCTCCGCCGCCACCGCCGCCGCGCTGGGAGCCAGGGTCGACGCCACGGCCGCTGTCGGCGGCGACGGCGGCTTCTGATGACATTGCTCGATGTGGAGGCAGTCTGTCGCTATCGACGACCTCCCTCGCGGGACCGGGGCGCCGAAATTCGACGACGACGAGTGTTGGAGCAGGCCGTCGACGCCGACTCCTCAGCCTCCCCGGCCGTCGCCGCCGTCACCAATTCCTTGTCTTGACAGTTGTGTGTGTCTTACCCGGTCCAGTTGGAAATAACTCGGTTGAAACGTGACGCAACGAGGAGTTGGTATCGAACTGACGTGACTGGTAGCCACAAGCAATCAGATGATGAGAGCTGTTTTAGTGGACATTGAAGCCGCCCATAAAATAAACGGTCGTGGAGTATGGCCAATGACTGATGAATTCACAGTAATTAACTCGTCACTCGAGTCTAGTTTTTTCGATAAATCCCCGCAACCGAGGAATCCGTTAATAGTGATCCAGGCTCAGCACGTCAGCATTACCAGTGAGCCCACAGGCCCACTCCACAAAGACCGCTGATTTTTCTGACTTTTTCCCAGCACTTTGATCGAGCCGAATAACACCCTTTGTTGAATTTCACATGTGTCTGTTTTGCCCGGGCAGGCTGGGGATTGCCGGCCCTCTGACAGTGGTTATGCCTGGTGGTTATGCCTTTCAACAAATCTTCAACAACCGTGCTTGGAGTTTGGACTGAAATCACTTCTCTGGTGTTATGTTTACAGCATGCGAATTGTGCATTTTGGTGTGTGTAAAACTGAATTTATGAAGTTTCGCATGCATCGAAGCAAGGCCTCAGAAACACAAGATACCAAACTACGTTGAAGTTTGAATGAACGCTGATGCAAGCGCTAGTTAGAGTTCCGCGATGCGAGGCATTCTTGGCACTGGTGAAACTTCTGCACAAAAGCCAACTAATAGTTCGTGTCCATTGTTCAATTTCTTTGTTATAACTTTGGGAAAGTAGTTGATGCATTGTGTTTTTATCCGAAGCGATGCCTCCTTCGAATTCCTATCACAGACCTCCAATGTGTTGCAGCATTCAACCATGTGAAAATGTGATTTATTTTATGACTTTTTGTGTCATCGGCTTCCAATAGACCAGTCCATAGCGTACCTTGTACAATCCCTGCTCCCCAGTGACGTGCGCCACAGTCAGCCGTCGTCATCACCTGCGCCCTGCACCCCACCCCGTGTCCAGAACCGCTGAACCCGTCGGGACACTCACCCGGCGCCTGACACCGTGCCCTCCTTGTCTCCGCAGCTGTTCATGATCGACAACTGCGCCGACGACTGGCGAATCGCCATGACGTGGCAGCGCAACGTTCAGATCTTCATCGAGCTGCTCATATGCGCCATCCACCCGATCCCGGGCGAGTACTACTTCATTTGGACCACCAAGCTGTCCAACAACGGCAACAGCGGCCGCACGCTCAGCCGCAAGGTGCCCGTCGACGTGACGCTCTCGCTGCCCATGTTCCTGAGGCTGTACCTCATCTGCCGCGTGATGCTGCTGCACTCCAAGCTGTTCACGGACGCGTCATCGCGCAGCATCGGCGCGCTGAACCGGATCAACTTCAACACGCGCTTTGTGCTGAAAACTCTGATGACGATATGCCCGGGCACGGTTCTGCTTGTGTTCATGGTGTCGCTGTGGATCATCGCCAGCTGGACGCTGCGCCAGTGCGAACGGTAAGAGGGCCGCCGGGCCCGGCCGGGCGGTCTGCTGCTGGTGGCGAGGGCCTCGTACCGGGAGCGGGAGGGGGCAGAGGTCAGGGAGGGAGAACGGGAATCGGGGAGTGCGGTGAGGGAAAATGGGACTGGAAATCTAACTCGTGGGACTGCTGGGCTGCAATAGAGGGTTCAGAATCAGTCGGGGAATATCAATTTGGGATTTCTCTGTATTGTGCTTAGAAGTCATTTGTTCGGCCGTGCCTGAGACAATGGGTCGGTTATGATGTGAATGTGTTTATTTCTGATGGCCAAATTCAGTTCGATCTCGGTGTGTCCTTTGTTAGAAAATGTCTAGAGTCTGCTTGAGCGATGGTTAGAATAGTGGCTATAATTTTTGCTTGGTGCAGAACTATGTGTCTCATTGCCGTGTTGGGGATGGATCAAATCCCATCATTGGCCGAGTCATGGTGAGTGAGGGGCGCTTACACACTCTCTCAGTTGTACAATCTGTTGGAGCCCTGCAGTCGGCCGGGCAGCGGCACCTCTGGACACCGTCCCGAGTGCCAGCCGCCGCTCCGCCGGTCCGCCGGCCGCCGCCCCCTAAACCGGCGCCGGCCCGAGCCGCGGCACAGTAAGCGCCCCTCACCGAGAAATGCTCCGGCCCCGGGCCGCTCAGCTCCAGCCATGGTCATGGCACACGGAACCAATACGCCCAATTCGCCGCCCGGTCACCGGCCAAAACCCGACAGACCCCGCCACCTCGCGATCTCTCGGCTTCATGACTCCCGATGATGGCGAATTTTGAGCCAGCCCGCGCGCCCGCATCCTTTATGGCGTCTCACTTATTGCACGCGCTGACATACCCTTTAGCTTGCTTCCGCCCGCGCCTCTTTTTCTTTCTTTCTCTCTATCTAAACGTTGTCACGACAGCCGTCTCGCCACGGCTTAAACCGTTCTCTTTCCTGCCCTCCACACTTTCCGTCTAGATGTACAAAATCTGCTAGCTGGCGCATGTTGGTGTAGTGCAGCTGGACATTTCAAGCGTAATGCTGACAGTCGGTAGCGTAGCTGTCGTTTGACTTCCCTGACTTGGGCGTATTTGTCTCCAGGTACCATGACCATGACCACGTCAACCTACTCAACTCGATGTGGCTGATAGCGGTTACTATTTTGTGTGTGGGCTATGGAGACATAGTACCCAACACCTACTGTGGCCGGAGCATTTCCGTGGTCTGTGGAATGATGGTAAGTTGGTGCGCGGACTGTCGGCTGACCCGATGTGTAAGTGGCTCCGCCTGTGTTCGACAGATACCACGACGATGATCACGCCAATCTCCTGAATGCCATGTGGCTGATCGCCATTACTTTTCTCTCGGTTGGATACGGGGATATTGTGCCTAATACCTACTGTGGACGCGGCATAGCGGTCACGACTGGTATCATGGTGAGTGGAGACGGCCGTGCCGGCCGGGTCGGCGTGTGCGCACCGCAGCTTGCAGCACCGCGCGTCCCCCAGCGTCACTGAAAGGATGGCCGCTGTCCGTGACTCCCAGCGTCACTGCCCGGCCGGGCTGTCTGTGACTCGAGTCTGACAGTCCGTGACTCGGGTCTGAACGGCCCGTGACTCGGTTTTATAATCCCAACCTACCCGTAATCCAGACCTATCGGTGTCATGAGACAGTGCGTATTGACAAAGACCACCGTGGAATTCCCAAACAGAGTGCACGGCCCCCATATATTATATCATACACTATTCAATTATTCACTTCTTCTTTGGATTGACAAGCTTCGGATCGATTCACGCAAATGGCTGGTCAGGCGCCGTCTGACGCTACACGACTCTCTCTCTCTCTCTCTCTCTCTCTCTCTCTCTCTCTCTCTCTCTCTCTCTCTCTCTCTCTCTCTCTCTCTCTCTCTCTCTCTCTCTCTCTTCTCTCTCCCTCTCTCTATCTTCCCATTTCTGTGGCCTGTTTGGATCTCCGGCAAGCCTGCAGCAGCTCATCCGTCCGCTTAACTGGTAGCAAGCTTTTCTGTTCTGAGCTTTTTGCCAGCGCCTCTAACCCATTCGTTTCATCTCTTCCGCCCTTTTTCTATTTTGAAGTTTGTGGTGCGGCAATCTAATCCCACTCAAAGTGGCTCGTTTAAAATTCTGCCTCGGTGGTTCTGATGACAGCGGTTGACGTGTAATTTGGCAGACGATTTTGCCCGTTTCGGGCTGTCCGGTATGTCCTGAATAAGCTAAATAGGCCTTCAAAGTAAAATCAACAGGCTGGCGACGACGGCCGTGCGTTAGGCATGTAAATCCCTGGATGGAGGAAAAGTGGTAGCAGACTGGCGCCAATCATTTGCAAAGTTTGGCTTAGAAGCTAAAAACAGGTATAAATGAGCTTGTAATTAAAAGAGACAATCAGTATGTACAAATATACATACAAATTCATTAGTGAGCGTTCAAAGTTAAAAGAAAACAATGGTGAATCAACATATTATTTTGCACAACATTAGGTAAAGATAAGGCAGCAAAGTTTATATTTATGCTAATTGTTATTACCAACCGGTTCAGAAATGTGTAAGTGCTGACCATACGTGCTGACAAACAAGCGTTGTTAAGCTGAACCCAGGGATTGTCGCTTGACGTGTCAGAGGCAGGTATTCAAGTAATAAATGGTACAGGCATCGACAGATAGTACCTAAATAAGGAGAGTGCATTGCAAACGCACCTATCGACCGACGACAGTGTCACAAAAACTGCCGGAAAAACATTTATGGACATTTTCAAGTTGGCTAAATGGCTAGGTCTGAAATATTCAGGTCTACATCGAAAAGGCCACATACGAGTACGTACTGTACAGGGTGTTCACTAAAAATTGAGACAAAGTTTAGCAGGCTGTATCTTCGGTAAAAATGTACCGATTTAAACAAACGAGGCATTGTTGTAATGCACATTGCATCTGCTGCAAACCGTAGAGCGTCAACAGATTTGCCTGATTCCCGTAGGTCATTTTTCGGACATTTTCTTGTAAGTGTTTTCACAAGGTCTGGCACCAGTGGACCGTGAATTTGGCCAATTCGTGGCGGTAATGAGCAGCCAGTTGATTTTGTATCAAATTTAAAGACACCAATATACGTAATAGCCTTCGGCAAATCACATTAGATACTCATTTGTTAATTTCAGTCGTGGCAAATGGCTTATCGGGCCTTGTTTCAATCATGCAATTTTACATCGGCCGAAGCCCCCAAGGCGCCCCTTGATTAGTGTGCTGGCGCGAGGTCGGACCAGAAGATCACCTTCTGGTTACCTATGTTGTTCTGCATGAACCTCTAGTGCTAAATAATACACTTGACTCAGAAAGTATCATATTGTAAAGGACCGGCCTGGAAGAATAAAGTCGAACTGATGATATGCTCTGAAATAACACACGTACCACGGCATCCAGCGTTAGCTTGGATGCTAAATGGACGTTAGCTCTTGTATCATTGATAACATCACTACAGAACACTCCATTGTCTAGTTAATTGTCGCCCTTTGACAAAAACATGATTTTTCTTCCTTAAATAGATCGGTTTTTCTGCAATTTGTGGCCCTTGCTTGACCATTGTTTATTTACTTCTCTTGCCTTATGTTGTTCCCAGTCGCTTCGAGAAATCATTTACGCCGGTTGTAACTCATCCTAGCCTCAGGTGTGATATATGTTCTTCGCTTAGGCACAGTTAATACCTTACTGATCGGCAGCATTGCATCGTGAGGTGCCAAAAAGCCCCTCCACGTGCATTTTCGGGGCCCCGACCTTTCCTTTGGTCAGTATCTTCACATTTGCACCACTTCAGATTTCCTGACTCTCACGCCCACTAGAAATTTCGTCCCACCATACGGTATGTAACTAATTTCGACATTTTAAGCTTTCATTAGGTATTTGTACGTGCCAGACTCTCCCATTGACGTACTATTTTGGGAAAGCGTGCCAATTGGCTTTCGGTGGTCCTTATTTAAAACGACCTCCAACGCAACTGTTTTCATTACACCCATGAAATTTTATGCTCGGTATGATACAAAAATGTCCCTTTTATCTCCATGCTAAGTTGCATCGTAATAGCTTGCTTCACTTTTGATGTGCAGTCATTCAAAGTTTGTGTCAATTTTTAGTGAACACCCTATATTTGGTGCTTTAGTACGGTTCACACCGACCGCTCAGCCGCCTAGTCCAATGTCCGGCCAGTGCAGTGGACAGACAGTCCGGCGAGGCCGAACCGTGTTGAGGAGCCCCGGACAGCGGCCGGACAGCGGTCGTACAGCGGTCGGACAGCGCCGGACAGCGCCGGACAGAGGCCGGACAGCGGCCGGTCAGCGGCCGGACAGAGGCCGGACAGCGCTGGACAGCGGTCGGACAGCGCCGGACAGCGGCCAGACTGCAGCAGCCCGCTGACGCCGTGTTGAGGAGCCCCGGACAGCTGCCGGACAGCTGCCGGACAGCGGTCGGACTGCAGCGGGCGCGGACGCCGTGTTGAGGAGCGGTGGACAGCGCAGCGGCCAGCGGACGTTTGCCGAAGGCTTCTCTGACCGCAAAAACTGGCCTCCGCTGACGGCAACCGGAGCACGGCGATCGATTGCCCTCGTCCGCGGGGCAAAGGCCGAACTGACGCCGATAAAGAGTGTTCCGATCGTTTGAGCAATGCCAGTCAAATTGTCCAAGTGACTGGCGACGAAATCGACCGTCGCCGGCTCATCGGGGCCATCTATATGGACCGGGCCGCCGGCGACTGAGCAGTGGACTCCGATCGCGGCCTTTGTGGCCGAAGCTGTTCACCCATTCACGGCGAGCTCTCGTATATTCGGCGGCCGGGCGCGTCACGTCCCCTGGCCGCGTTATTTCTGCAGCGGCTCAGAGAGGCGCGTGCCGCCGCCGCCGCTCTGGCACTCACGGGATCCATCAGCTGCGCCGGCCGCCCGGCGCGCCCGCCCGGCTCCGGCGAATAAAATCACTGGCCACTTATCCAGCGCCGCGCGCGCCTCCTTGAGATGCAGAGAGAAGAAAATGGCGCTGCCAGTCTGGGTTTTGTCGCCCGGGACTGTGTCGGCCCATTGTTTTACAGCGCCAAGTTGGGCCGTTGGCGCGATTTCGGTGAATAGGCGCGCGGCTGCAGTTTACCGTCCGGGTGACGGCCGTCGTCGGGGCTGTCGCCGCCGGTCCCGGAAAGCCGGTCAGCGGCGGCCGACTGGCAGGGCCGACTCCGGGCCCCGACAGCGCTGACGCCGAGACCGAGCGCTGACGCTGAACGCTGGCTGCTGAGCGCATTGCTGTGGTCCTCTGTCAGCTCAGCTCACTCAGCTCTCTCTGAAGGAGTGAGTTCTGTGGCACCGGGTGCAGCGCGAAAGCTGCTCAAAACTCAGCCTGAATGACTGCGGTGGTTAGTTCGAAAAGAGCAAGGGCACTCTTTTGATATAAGACGAGTTATGGAAAGTGCGTTTTAAGTAATTCTTTTGCAAAGTTGGTTTGGCTTCATGTTTATTGTCTAAGCTTCATGTTAGTTCCAACAACTTTTGAAGCTGAATCAAGCATAATTCGTATCGTAATAATTAATTCAAGCATAATTAACTGTATAACATAAGAAAAAGAGTTAAGTTTATGCAGCGTTGCTTCAAGAAAAAAAATCAACTGTAAGGGTGCGTTCGGAGAGCGCGGAATATTCCCCGTCATCGTGAAAATTCCCCGTGTTGCGTTCGGAGAGGGACATTCCATACCGCCAATTTCAAGGATCGCCGCAACTGCGCCAAGTTGAGTTCGTGGGATTTTGTTTGGGTTATTGGGTTATTTGGTTATTTGGAAACATCTATGGCAAGATGTAATAAGAATGAAGCTCTTGAAGAAAGAACAACTAAGAAAAATCACAATTATTTTCAAAAAGTCCCATCTATACTGTGCCCCCCCCCCACCCCCACCCCAAACACACACAACACAACACTTCAAATTATCGTTTTCATTGCTTCAGAGGACAATCACACAACTGAGTAAGCATTATCAATTGTTGGATTTGCAATAAAACTGATCAGGGTGGAAACAAACGCAAGAAATATCCATTTATATTCAATAATATACTCACTCGAGCATACTGATGGGCGCCGCCATATTGACGGGAACGACGCGTGAGATGCTTTTTAGATTCCGCGCTTTCCGCGTCCGTTCCGCGGAACTTTCCCCGGGAATCGCTCTCCGAACGGCATTCGGCGGAAATTTCATGCCGGCGTGGAATATTCCCCGGGAATCTGCCTCTCCGAACGCACCCTAAGATGAAAGTAGCAATTTTTTCGATCCACCTGCGTATTTCCTCTTTTACTATTATATCTGTGATTTTACTCCATCCATACAAAACCATGCGTCATTCTGGCAATACTATGGTAGTGAAGGGAAAGCCTGTTTCGACTTTTCTCATGACATGAGAAAAAGATCA